GGACAGACAGATGTGTGCTGGGACAGACACGCTTCGATCCATGTGAAATCAAACCCATCCCTGGGCACGAGCATCCTGATGACTCAGGACATTCATGTCACCCTTTTGTCTCCAGCAATGTGGGAATGCAGCTCACAGCTCACCCCTGCCACCACGGGGAGGGAAGAGGGGAGGTCTCAGTCCCCTCGGGGGATTTATTTCTGTTCCCCATGATAAGGGGAGTCAGAGGTGCTGGGCAGAGCCACAGCAGGGTCCTGAGTGTCAGATCTTCGTTAATAGACTGATTAAAATCACCACCATGATATTATCCCCTGCCACACAATGAGCTGATGTGAGTGCATGGCCCTCAGTCCGTTTTCCCCTCATCCCCTGCTCCCACTCAATCCCTGCTTTCCCATTTGGTCCCTGCTCTCCCCTATCCCCTTCTCCCATCCATCCCCTGCTCCCCCCATTCCCTGCTCCCCCCATCCCCTGCTCCCTCCAGCTCCTGCTCTCCTTCATCCCCTGCTCTCCCCATTCCCTGCTCCGCCTATTCCCTGCTCCCATCCATCATGGTCCCTGCTCTCCCCTGTCCCCTGCTCCCCTCCATGTCCTGCTCCCATTTATGCCCTGGTCCCATTTATCCTCTGCTCCCATTTATTCCCTGCTCTCCCCCTGCAACAAGAACAGCCATAAACAGTTAAAAAAAAACAACCAAAAAACCAACAGAAAGGAACCACGAGATGAAGTTACCAATCATCCTGCTCTCCTGCCAAGTGAGTTCACGTCGGAGCCTCTTTCTTGGCCAGGATGAGGCAGCAAGGAAGAAAAATAGCTTTCCATGCAAAGTGGGGGAAGAAATGTACTTGGATTCCTCTGCAGAGCAACACTGCCCTGAAATCAATCTGTCCCAGCACCCACAGCTCCTCTGCCCGCTGGCATTGGGACAGCCATTCCCAGTGACAGGGCTGAAATGGAGTCAATGAAAACACCCCTTGAGCCGGGCAGGATGGGATTGATGCTGCCCAGGAAGGGATTTTAACGGTGGCCAGATTGCTGGCATTTAGGGTTTATAATGTACTCGGGATCAAATGTCCTGATATGTCAAACCCCTTCCTGGGGGCTTGTTTTATAAAGGAAAACAACAAACCTTAAACTGAGAAATAATAAATCATGGCACCTCCGCAGCTTTTTCTCAGCAGCCTCACATGGATCCTGCCAGGCTGCAGAATTCCTGCCTGCTGGGACTGGGAAGGAGCAGTGCTGGGACTGGGAAGGAGCAGGGCTGGGACTGGGATGGAGCAGTGCTGGGACTGGGATGGAGCAGGGCTGGGACTGGGATGGAGCAGGGCTGGGACTGAGAGAGCAGGGCTGGACTGGGAAAGCAATACTGGGACTGGGAGAGCTGTGCTGGGACTGGGAGAGCAACGCTGAGATTGGAAAAGTGGTGCTGGGATTGGGAAAAGTGCTGGACTGGGATGGAGCAGGGCTGGGACTGGGAAGGAGCAATGCTGGGAATGGGAAGGAGCAGTGCTGGAACTGGGAAGGAGCAGTGCTGGAATTGAGAAAAGCAATGCTGGGATTGAGAAAGCAGTTCTGGGACTGGGAAAGGAGCAGTGCTGGACTGGGATGGAGCAGTGCAGAACTGGGATGGAGCAGTGCTGAACTGGGATGGAGCAGTGCTGGACTGGGATGGAGCAGCAACAGAGCTGGGATGAAGCAGTAACAGCTCCAGACACCTGCCAGTGCAATAAATGCATTCCCTGGCATCATCAAGCTCCTGCTTCTGACCATGCAAAAAGCCCCAGAAAAGGGGAAAAGGAAAGCGAAAGAGTGGGAGGAAGGGTGGGGAAGGGGAAGGAAAGGGAGAGGGGAGCCACCCCAAGAGCCACAGAGAAGCCCAGTGCTCTGGCTCCTGACACGGGCTCCCCAGTATTTTTCCACAGTCCAAGCAAAGGCTTCCTGCCTTCCCCTGAGAGCCGAGTGTCACCCGATCACAGCGCACCGGACACGGGGATTTAACACCGCTGTCAACGCCACCGTGGAGGCCCAGAGGTGACCTGCACAGTCCTGGGCTGCTGCCAGCTCAAGGTGCCCCCCTAAGGATGGTCCCGGTCTCTGTGCACGCTCTAGGGAGGTGCTCCCACCTCCTGGTGTCACCTCTAGGGGACAGGGACATGAATCCAATGGAAGGAGGCACAAATCTCCCAGCACAGCTGCCTCCCTCGCTGTCCCAGCCCTGGGGCCATGGCTGAGCAGGATTGCTCAAGGATGTGATCCCTTGATGACAAACGGCCCCAGGATGAGAGGACAAGGCCAGCAGGATAAGCTTGGAGAGCTGGGGGGGCAGAACGCTCCAGCTGGGACATGGGAAGCAGCAGCACAAGAGCCCAGCAACAGACTTTAATTATTATTTTTTAGTGCTCTGTTTGGCTCTGAAATTCCTTGGAAGCCCAACTCCAAACAAACAAGGACATTGTCTGGGGAAACACGTGGAGGCTGGAATCTGCTTGAGAAAACCCACGGGATCACAAAGTCCCTGGAGGTCAAGGAGCTGCCACGGAGCACAAAGGGTCCAAGGGGAGCTGTGACAGCCCTGCCCCGGTCCCCAACTGTCCCCTGCCCCACGCCAGAGTGGCTCAGGGCTGACAGGGGGCTCACAGTGAACCCCCCCCCGTGCCATCCTGATGCTCCAAGGGGTTGGAGCAGCCTCGGCACAGGCACGTGCCTCTGTCCTTGAGCACGATGCCTGCCAGGATCCTCCCGGCCAGGAACACTGTGGGATTGTCACACAGAGCAGAGGAGAGGGACAGCGGGATGGGAGGAAGGATAAGACAAGCTTCCCTTGTTACAATTCAGTGCTGGCAGGAAGGACGAGCCCTTCCCGTGCCATCCTCATCACGGGGGTGAACACAGAGGGACACCGGGCTCCCAGGGCTGGCAGGACAGTGCCACTTCCAAGGTCCCCGTGGAGATGGGGACAGGCTGGACCCCTGCCCACCTCATCCCACCTGTCCTGGCTATTGGCACCATGCCCATCATGTCCCCCCCGAGGCGCCCAGAGCCCCCCCAGCCCACTCCGACTGATGGCAGAGAGAAACGATCCAATTCCAACACGAAGCAGGAATTTTTGTAAGAGAAATGGACGGAAGGCTTCACCAGCCTCTGATTTTTAGTGTGTCCCCAGAAAAAGACCTGGGGGTAGGGAACCAGCCAGCTCAGATCAACTGAGAAAATCAGTGCCTGTGACAAACATCCACGGGCAGCGAGGTGGGAGCCGAGGGGGCGGCGCTGCGGGAAGCGCTGCGGCTCCCGAGCCTGCGGAGAGCAAAAAGCTTTGGGAGTGTAAGGACCAGGGGAACAGCAAAGCTCTGAGGACAGCGGGTCGTGCCAAGGGCTGTTAACAGCCTTCATTTAACACATCTCCCACAGCACAAGTGACAGTAATCTCTGCAGGAGAGGAGCAGGACAGGCAGGCAGGGGAGCGAGCGGAGCCAGGCTGTGGCACTGAGCATCTCAGGCCTCCTCTGGCAGCTGGAGCTGCTGATTTCCAGCCCTTCAGCATCAATCTCCCCCCATCAGATGCCAGCTCAAGCCCCATTAGCAGCAGGCACCAGGGAGGCCCCACTCCTGCTGGGAGCAGATAATGCCATAAAGAAGCAAATAAAGAGGGAAACCACTAATTGGATTCATGGGTCTCGCCGGTGTCCTGCTGGAGAGTGACATTATCTCCTCATCCTGACCCCCAGCACCCGACTCAGCGCTGGGGGAATTCTCTCCTCCACTTCCTTTGTGCTGATGAACAAGCTTCACTCTGAGGGAGCCTTCAGTGAACACAGACCCCCTAAATCCCAGAGACCCCCCAAAATCCTGGGAGGGGATTGGGAAACCGAGCCCTGTCCTGCCCAACTCCACGCTATCGCCTGAGAGAGCAAAGGGTGAGGCCTCTCCCTAAAAATACACCCTGCCCTAAAAATACACAGGGTGAGCTTAAATTAACCGTGCACACACACCCTGGGCAGCGCCCACAGCCTGCCCAGCCCAGCCACGTGCAGACCCCGGGGACCCCCAGAACCCCCAGAACCCCCAGGACCCCCAGGATCACAGCTCACACCCCACTGCCCTCAGCAGAGAATCGCCCTGGGCTCCAAGATCCACCCAGGACCTTCACTCCTTTGCAGAGATCTGAGTTCATCCAATTTCCTGCATGAGCCATTGCTCATCCAGTGAGTGGGGGAAGGGGATCCCTCTCACTTCAGGCCCCCGTGGAAGCCTCCCCAATTTCAGGAGGCAAAAGACACCCCAGAGGGGAAGCAAAAACCTGACAGAGACCCACTGCAACCCCCAGATCCCCCTGTTCCACCCTGACTGATTCAGTCAAAAGATAAAACCAGTGACAGGAATGGTGTCCCACATCCCAGCTCTCCAGATGTGGCACCAACCTGCTTTCCCCATGCCCCACCAGCCCCATTGCTCTGCACAGGCAGGGAAGGTGCTGGAAGTCCACAGGGACCCCCTTTGGGCCAGACTCAGCACCAAAATCCCAACCAGCAGCTCTCCCTCCTGTACTGACTGCAGAGTTGGGACCAGCAAGCCCAAACAGGACACGGAGCTGTAACCACACTTGTGCTGGCCACAAAGCCACCAGCAGAAGGAAATTGTCACCAGCCACTCACACTGTGACTCAGTGGCACCCACAGAGCCACCTTTGTGTTGGGAGTTTGTTCTTGGTCACTTTTTGGGGTGGGACTCGGTCATTTTTTTGGGGTGGGACCAAAGGAAGGCAAGAACTGCCATCCCAAAACCTGCTGCACAGGTAGCAGCTCTACTCCTCCCTTTATCTCTTTTCCTCATATCTGCACATCAAGAAACAACTAAACTTGATAGAAATAATAATAAAAGGGAAGGGAATGACCTGTGGGAAGCTGCCTGCTTCCCAATTTCACCCACCACAGCCTGGAGACAGCGAGGCAGACTCAAGGAATCGGGGATGGGGGAGCAGGACGGGGGTGGGCACTCACGGTGCAGGCTCAGGGAGATGTTGATGGATCGTTCTTCCACAAAGCCCTTCAGGTTGGGGATCTTGGCACACTTGAGGATGGTCTGGGAGGCACTGTCACCCACGTGGACCCAGCACACCGTGTCCTCCACGTAGTTGAAGTCCATGGCCGTGGTCTGCTTGGCGCTGGTGGGGGTGATGTTGGGCACGGGGGCCCCGCTCAGGTACGTGGCCAGGATGTTCTGAGAGTTGGCAATGAGCAGCACAGGAGGGCGATCCACGGGCTCTGGGGGCAAGGAGGGGACAATGGGGTCAATCCTGTGGCTGCAACCCCAGGGAAGAGCCCAGGGCAGGGCCATGGTCTGCAGAACTGCCCCAAAGCAGCTCCCCCTGCCAAAGCTCTCACCATTTTTGGCTTTGCAGGATCTGTTGTCTGGCTGCAGGAGATACCCCTCGACACAGCTGCACGTGTAGGAGCCCTCTGTGTTGCTGCACGTCTGGCTGCAGGTCCCATACACGGTGCATTCATCAAAGTCTGGAAAAAACAGGAAGAAACAGAAGGTTTGGACCAGAAAAAAACACCTCCTTCAGTGCCTGAAGAGGGAATGAAGCTCCACAGTTTCTACAAGGAAGAGCTGGAGAGGAGGGGATGATCCCTGAGCCAAAGGAACCCTCACACCAGCCTGCCAAGGAATCCAAGGGACCCTCACATCAACCTTCTGAGGAGTCAAAGGGACCCTCACATCAGCCTCCAGAGGAACTGAAGGGACCCTCATATTGACCTCCCAAGGAATCACCTTCCAAGGCCACCCCATGACCAGGCAGGCAGCCCCTGTTCCCTGCTCCAGCATCAGCTGCAGCAGGACAGCCCCTGCCTGGCCACTGAGCCTCCCCCCAGCTCTGCACCTCCATTCCCACTCCAAATCCCTCTAATCTCCAGCTCCCTGGCTCGGCTGCTCTTTCTTCTGGCAGATGAAAGTGATGTATCCCCCAGAGCTCCTGCCAGAGCAGGGAATGGTCCCTTCCACCACATGAAAGGGATGGAGCCATCACAATCTCTCACTTCCAGATTTGTTTCCATCACACTGATGCCATCAATCCTTGCTGCGACCCTCTCCTATTTTTCCCATCTTCTCTGAGGAGGGAGGAGGAGCATGTGCCAGCCCCTGACTCCATACACAAAGACAAAGCCTTTTCCTTACTCCCAGTATTTCTCACTCAGGCTTTTGGGAGCCACATCCACAGCAGAGGGAGTTCCATTTCATCCCATCCTATCCCTTCCAATCCCACTGATCCCATCCCATCTCATCCCAATGATCCCATCCCATCTCATCCCATTGATCCCATTGATCCCATCCCATCCCAGCCCAGCCCATCCCATCCCCAGCACTGCTGTGGGATGGTGGCATTGGCCACATCCCCAAGGAGCCACGGTCCCCAGCACGGAGTGAGGGCTCTGCCCACCCCAGACCCACCTCTGCAGCTCCTCCTGTCCTCAGCCAGCTGGAAGGAGTGGTTGCAGTAGCAGACAGGGCCGGACAGCGTTGGTGCACAGTGGTGCTGGCAGTCCAGCGCTGAGCAGTTGGCCAATTGCTCTGCAGGGACAGGGAAGATGGAAGAGAGAAGATGTCACCCAGGGAGGAACAGGATGGACACCAAGAATCAAGGACTGGGTGAGCAGGATCACCAGATACCCCAGCAGGATTTGCTGGGAAACTTCACACTGTTCCCACCCCACTGGAGGAGAAGGACTGAGCCCCTCAGCAGAGGGAGGGAGGACATGTGGGACACATGGCTGCTCCTGGGAGGGGGGACTGAGCAGCCCCTGCCATCCCCAGTGCTGCTGACTCTGTGCCACTTCCAGGGGTGGGCGAGACCTGGCACCTCTTGTGCAGGGGGCTGGCAGGGGATGCAGTTCCAGGGCATCCTGAGGGATGTGGATGCACCAGAGAGCCCAGAGCTCCCCTCCTGTCCAGCCCTGGAGTGCTCAGAGGGGACAATGTCGGGGTTCAGCACGGGGGCTCCACTGGCATTACCACCCCACGATGTCTGCAAGGGCAGCAGAGAGTCCCCAACTCCCTGGGGGAGCAGAATGGAGGGGGCAATGGTCCAGCAGCCAGAGTGGGAACAATTGGGGTGACAATTTGGGCTGATGGCTCAGAGTGACAGCTTGGGGTGACAGCTCAGGGTGACAGCTCGAGGTGACAGCTCACCTGCCCAAGCCTGGGGCAGTGGCAGGCTGGGACTCGCAAGCAGCTGCGAGGAAATGGAGGAAATGCCTCCCTGGGGCGGCACCAGCCACGGGCAGGGGGGACTCGGCTCAAGCACCACCGAGGGCTGGAGGCCCCAGCGTGCCCAAACCTGTGAGCACCAGGTGCCCAAAACCCTGAGCTCCAGGTGCCCAAAGCCCTGAGCAGCTGCCCCAACACGGCTCACATGGCTCACGTGCTGCCCGGCCGTGAAAAATCAGATCCCACTTAAGTAACGAGAGCTCTTACTGAAATATTAATTCTCAGCTCAGGTACAGCTGCAGGAGCTGCCCTGGGCTGCTCCCATGGGATCCAGGCAGGGGAGAGGAGCTGGGTGCCAGCAGGGAGCCCTTTGGGGTCAGGGGTCTTGGTGGAGTGGGACAGGAGCCCCCCACCCCAGGCAGGGCAGGGTTGGGGAGCACAGAGGCTCCGGAGAGCAGGGTCAGCCCAGGACACACGTTTCTGAGCCATTAATCTGCACAGCAGCACGCTGGTTTAGGGAGTTTTCCAGCAGGATTAGCCACGGGGACAGGCCAGGAGGGGGGACAAAGCTCCTGGAAATTAGGAAAAAACCACAGCGGTATCTCTTATCTGGACCAGAACCCCAGGCCTGAAGCTTTTAAACCCAGGAGACAATGCAGCTATTTCATGGCTGCAGGCTCAGGAATGATGGGCATTTCACTTCCAAGCGGCTCTGGATAATCTCTGGATCTGTGACTGTGCTGAGCTGAGCGTGGTGGGGCTCAACAGGAGAAAGCAGGGACCTGATCACTCCTGGCCCGCTGGGGAGCCCCCCTTTGTGGCACTGTGTGCCCCCCAAGCCTACCCCGGCAGTGTGGGCCCTCGTCAGAGCCATCGAAGCAGTCGTGGAGCCCATTGCAGAGTTTGCTCATGTGGATGCAGAGCTCGGTGCCCAGGCAGTTGTGCTCGTTGGGTTGGCAGCGGGACACTTTGCTCTGGGGACCTGCAGGGACACCAAAGGGCACAAGGGTGAGCACAGGGACTGTGACCCCCCCCATCCCGGGGGCAAACACCTTCCTTGTCCCGAGGCCGTGGCACAGGCAGGTTCATGGGGGGCCCCTCCGAGCCCAGCACAAGGCGACTTAATCTCCATTATTAACTGGAAAAATTACAAAGGAAGCCAGGCTTTATTTTTAAGCTCCTCTGAAAAGAAGCAAGGCATGGAGACAAACAACAAACACACCATAAATCCATTAACAGCCTGAAAACCCAGGAAAAGCTCCTGTAACATCCAGCACGGCTTCACCCTGGGCTGGAGGTGGCTGCAGGGGTGACAACGAGCCCTGGCACGGCCTCTGAAAATCCTGACCCCCTCCATGGAGTCTCTTCCTCTCCCTGCCCCAAATCCATGTTTCAGGGCTGAACACGCAGCTACCAACACATCCCTGCCCAGCCAAAATGCTAAAATCCCATTTTCCAGGGGCTGTTCATGCCTCGCCCTCCCCTCAGCAGGCAGAAATAGCTCCGTGGATCCCCCCAGGCCCCCAGTGAGCACTGAGAAGGGCACAGCACACACCGTGTCCAGGCACGGTCCCATTTTAGCCCAGTCACCTTCACCAGAGACTCCAGCAGCAGAGTTTGCCCTAAATAAGCTCCAGCTCTCCTTGGAGAGGAGTGTTACATCACACACAGAGCTCTGTGTGCTGCTACATCCTCACAGCTCCAGACACCTCTGATGGGCACTGGATGTGATCCCACCGTGACCCTCGGGCTCCCAGGAGGGGATAAAAGCCCTTGGAAGCACATGGAGCTGTGGGGAGGGGACCACAAAGCCCAGGGCTTGTGACACCTCTCCCCCCACCAAGCACAGGAGCCCCACACCAAGCAGGATCCTCAATCCAACACAGTCAAAACTTCCCTCTGTCCATCCTGGGCCCCCATTTCTGCCCAAGGGATGCCTGAAAAACTGGAATATAACAGGCTCCAGATGCCAGATCACTCCCTTGCATCTCAAACACATCCCAGTATGCCCCTAGTGAGCCAACTGGGGGCACTGGGGTGATGGGATCCTCCAGGATGCTCAGGACACCCAGGCTCTGTCACAGCCAGCAGAGATTTCCTCTCTTTCCCAGCCCCAGAGCACCCAGCAGATGATTCCTGGGAGAATTTCTTACCGGCTGCCACCACACAGATTTATTTTTTGCAGAGGGTGGGCCCCCTGTAATTGCGAATTATGGGTTAATTAAGTAACATCAATATATGGACCAGAAGAATGGAGGGGCTGAAGTGAAGCGCCCAATTCATCAGTCAGAGCTGCTCTGCCGTGTCCATTATTCCCTGCAAAGAGCCTGGATCAAACCACTTATCCCAAACAGGGCAGGATTAATCCACAAGCCACTTTGTTTGCTTTTGACCGTGTTGGCGCTAATAAATGAGCCAATTTATTACATGTGACAAGCTTGTGGTACACCCCAAGGAGCCGAATTAGATAGGAATGTTTAACCTCGAAAAACCACTCAGAAAAAAAAAAAAAAAAAAAAAGGATAGAAGAAAAGCAATTCTTCCTCCTGCAGTTGATTTGGCAACAGCCCAGGGAGACGCAGATGGGAGGAACACAATGAAGGAAGAGGCTGGAGGAGCAGGGCTGGGATGGTCCCACTCGTCATGTAAGGATGGACACGGATGGCAGCGCTGAGGGTCCTGGTGCTGCCTCTGGGTCACTTCTGAACTCATCAGGACCACGCCAAGAGCAGATCCAGCACAGCCAGATGAGGGATCCGAGGCTTCCTGTACCCTCTGATCAATGGATGGACCAACCAGGCATCAGACACAGCCGAGCCACAGCAAATTCCTTCCTCAGAGCTCCTCATCTTTGATCTCCTACAGGATGGTCCAAGTGTTTTCCTCTCAGGAAAGCTCCGTGGAGCAAAAAAATCTGCAGGAAGCACGTGCGAGCCACTCACACCAAATGAGCAGCGCTGGGGACAGGAAGGGACCGACCTGAACACCTGAGCAAAGCCAGGGAATAATTCAAAGGATTCCCCAGACAGGAAAAGCTGGCACGTGCCTGACAGCATTTCAAGAGGCTCTGGCAGGAGAACGACGGCGCCACGCAAACATCGCAGCACCAAAGGAGCCGGAGCCTCGGCAGGAGCCTGGCTCAAACGCAGATTAAACGAGAGTAATAAAAATCATTCTCCCCCTGCCAGGGAGATAAGGGGGATGAGAGGCTGCTGGAAGCCCCGGTGCCGGAGTGGCGTGAGAAAAGCCGGCCTGGCAATCCTGGAGATAGCGGGGCCAGTGCTGACAGGTCGGGCTCCACGGGAGCGAGCCTGGGCAGGAGCAGGCAGGAGGATCCACTCATCCCCTGGCCCCTGGCAACGGCACAGATGCGCCCTGGCACCCCAATCTCCATGTCCTGGGGGGCACAGTTTCACCCTGACTCCCTTCCAGTGTCTAGGGGAGCAAAATGGGGATGGGGGGAGGTGGGCAGAGCCACTCAGGAAGGTGCAGCCCCTCCATTTCCCAGAGATCAGCTGGGGAGGGAGCTGCTCCCAAAGAAATGAGAGATTCCAAAGTTTGGGGGTTGTGGTGGTGATGGAAACACACAGACTCAGTGCCACACATAGTGGTGAGGAGAGAGGAGATGCCAGGCTTTGGTCTGTGTCTCACAGAGGCTCCCACTTCCCTGTCCTGGAAGTGCCAAGCTTGTTCCGAGGGGCACAGGGGCAGCGGGGGTCCCGTGTCCACCAGGGGTGAAACCTCAGGGGGCTTGGACCAAACCCAAGAATCTTCCAACATCCATGACCTCCACACAGAGGTGCATCCACAGCACCAGAGGCTGCTCCTGGCACCAGGCCCCCTCACCAGCGCCAAGGAAGAGAAAGGAAGGAGGTGGAGAGGGAAGAGCATCCAAGGGGTCCGTGCTCCATCACCTGTGCATATGGATCGAGATGGATGCATGCAGCAAGCACAACATGCCAATCAGGACGGATTTCTTCCAGCCTCCAAGCCCTCCTGCTGTAATTTTCCAGGGCTGCTGATTGACTGGAGCCAGCCAGCCCATCCCAGCCCCCCATCCCTCCCACGGAGGGGCCGTTGCATCATTTTGCCTTAAGGAATAAACAAACCCGGAGCCGAACCAGAAACTGCTCTGGAGGAGACAGTTCTGTCAAGCACAGCGTGAGTGGGAATCTGGGAGGGAGAGCTGGGACAGGGGACCAGGAGATTCTGCTGGGCCCCATGGTGGCTGTCCTGTGGTCTGGAATCCTGGGACATGGGGACAGGTGGCTCCTTGCTCCAGCCTGGCCAGAGCAGAGCTCCTGGCACAGCAGGACTGGCACAGCCACCACCTCTGGTGTCTCCAGAGCTCTGACCCCTCTGCAGATACCCCCCATGTTCCCATCCCTACACCTCACCTAACCCATCCCAATTCTGCTTCCTTCCAGAGAGACTCCACCACTCCATCTGAGGCAGGAGCACCTCCAGAGCTGTGCCCACTGGTGTCCAAGTGGCTCCAGCATCTCAGACCAGTGAACCTAATCCAGCATCCTAATCCCAAAACACATCTGGGACAGCAATGTCGCCTTTCCAGCTGCTCCCTGGCACTCCCAGAGATCTCCTTCCCTCACTCCCTGCACTCAGGAATGCTGAGATGCTGAGGATGGGGTGACACTGCTGCTGACTCTTCCTTCCTCGTGCACATCCATTGTAATAGAAACAAACACAAATGAGTGATTCCCCACTCCCAGGAGGATGGTTTGGAACCATGGACGGATTCATGGATGGACGGATGGACGGAATGGACACCCCCCCACCCCGAGGGGCTGCAAGGGGAGCTGAGGTAGATCGTTGTTGCTCTGGAACACCCATGGAGAGATGGAGCAAACCCAGAGGAAGAAGAGGATTAGGAAGGAAAAGCATACATACATATCTCGGGAGATTCATCCGAGCCATCCGGACAATCCTTCTCCCCGTCACAGCGCCAGCCCTTAGATATGCACGTAATCTGATCTTTGCATGCAAACTGTTTGGGGCTACAAGTCTTCGGTGCTGGATGAGAAAAGAAATAACGATAATAAACAACATCAGTTTCTTCCCAAGGACAAGTTGTTTCAAAAGAAAAATCAAATTTCAATTAAAGGCCGAGATTGGTTTGGGGTTTTTTTTTGAGGGGGGGATGATTTCTTTCCTATGGCTTGGCAGAAGTTTGAGCCCGGCACCGGATCCATCAAGCCTGCCCCTAAGGAAAGGAGGAAATTTAAGCTGGAGCATTAATTACACCGGGAGAAAACAGGAGTCGAGCACTGTGATGCGCTCACAGATTTTAAAGATCATTTAACTTGGATGAATTAGCTCCTGGGAGCCAGAGGCGCTTCGTTTTCTGTGCTAGGCAAGAGAAAAACAGGGAAAAAACAAGAAAACCCAAATGAGAACAAATTAAAAAGTAATGCTTTTTTAAATCATGAGGACAACAGTGGGATAGGGATTCATCCATCCCATGGCCAGGACCCCAAGGCAGCCCAGGGAAGGGTGACCCCACATCCCTCACAGGACACACAGGGAGGGAAAATGGACAGAGTGAAAACCAGCAGGAAAAGCCAAAATCCTGAGTCTGGGGAGAGAGGAAGGCTGGAAAAAGCATCCTGCCCATGCCTTGGGGGGGTCACTGAAATGAGAGGGTCACTGAAATGGGAATCACTGACATGGGGAGTCACTGAAACAGGGGAATCACTGAAATGGGGGATCACTGAAATGGGGAGTCACTGAAATGAAGGGATCACGACAATGGGGGTCACAGCCATGGGGGGGTCACAGCCATGGGGGTCACTGAAATTAGGGGATCATGGCAATGGGGGTCATGGCCATGGGGGGGTCAC